TGCCAATCTTCCTCTTGTCTGTATGTGAGCCACCACCACAGCATGGCCACTGACAGACGAGTTCTGTAGGTCTGCACCCAGGAACCAAACCCAGGCTGCCGAAGTGGAGTGTGCTAAACTTAACCACTAGGCAACTGGGCTGGCCCACAGAACCCTTAGTTTTAATTTTAAAAATAAAACTTAACATTTGAAAATTGACATTTCTTGTAAAAATCTGCATTTTCAGCTTTTCTTTAAGAAATGTGAAGTTGTATCAGTACCAGGCTGGCATTTTTGAATGGTGAAAAACAATTGGAGCTGAGTTGTGGCTTTTTACATGACATATACAAATGTGCTACACCAAGTCCACATCATTAATTTACAATTTCTCTCTGGTCTTGTGGGTATTTAAATACGTGGCCCCCACTTGGAACATTTGAAAAAGGCTTCACTTTGGCTCCCCTGTGAATCTTTGCTTCTACAGGCTAAATATCCACCTTCTTTATATGGTTTGATTCTTAGCACTCTTCTCTGGACCTCTTTTTATTTACCAGTGTTCCTTTTAAAATATAACATCTGACTATCTCAGAATGGGGGGGATGCGGACAGGGTATTTTGAGGAATGCAATTTAAGACACTGCCTTTTTTTTTTTTTAACCAGAGAAACATACTTGTAGTAATTGACAACAGCTCCCAGGGTTTTATCATTAGAGGTCTCTTTAAACCAGCCCTTTCCGGTTTATCCTTCCTTTACTGAGAGCAGATATTTGAACTTAAATGCAAGGAATCATATTAAGTCTTCTTGAATTTCATCTTAATGGTGGATTTTTCATATTTTTTTGGATCTTCTATGTCCTCACTCAGGTGGATAATGCTGAAACAGGTATTAAGGGAAAATAGACTGAGACAAAGCGTTAGCGACCAGGCCCCCACTTAACTGTCTTCCTGATGAAATTAACTGTGAATATCCTCTTTAAAAGCTTTCCTTAAAAAAAGCAGGGAACCACCAGCTGGAAATTTTGACTGTGTGTGAAGCCTCTTTGAGAGAATTAGTGTGAGTCTGGGATCCTGAACTTGGGGACCATTTCCAAACTAAAATTGGTAACAGAAGAATTTGATGCTGTTCTATAAAAATGCAGTAGAAATTTGTATCCTGATAGTATATGACAATGGTGCTAAACTTTCTGTTAATTCTAAAAATTTTAATCCTTTTTCTCAAAATTCTTTGGAATTTTCTATTAGTCATATCATCTTTAAATGACGACAGTTTTATTTCTTTTCCTTACTACTCTAGTTAGAACCTCCAGTACAGTGTTGATGAAAAGTGACGATAGTGAACATTCTTGGCTGTTCAAAGGAATGAATAACTTAATCTCCTCATTAAATATGACATTTACTGTAGTTTCTTTTGTTCATACCCCCAAAACTTAAGTTCCCTCTGTTCTAGATTTGTCATTTTTTCCTTCCCTTCCTTCTTTCCTTCCTCTTTTCTTTCTCTCTTAAATGATGAATGGGTGACTTTTATCACTTTTTTGCATCTGTTTAGATGACTATTCTTTTCTCTCCTTTAACTGGTTAATGTAATTAATATCATTAATCACTTTCTGATGGTAATCTCCCCTTGCATTCCTGGGATAAACCCAACTTGCAAATATATTATTTAGGAACTTTGCATCTGAGTCACGAATAAGATTGGCCTATAATTTTTTCTTTCTTATCTTCTTAGTTAGGTTTGATAGCAGAGTAATAGTAGCCTGTAGAATGTTGTCAGCATTCCTTTTTTGGATATAATCTGGAATACTTCATAAAAAATTGGAATGCTCAGTTCCTTAACTGTTTGTAGAATTTGCTCGTAAAGTCATCGTGACCTCATGAGTTTTTTGTGGATAGATTTTAACTACTGATGTAATTTTTTTTATTGATTATAGGCTTATTTGGGATTTCTAACTCTTTTGGGGTGAATTTTGGTAAGTTACCTTTTTCTAGTTTTTCCTTTTGTCTCAGTTTTCATGTTTATTGGCATAAGGTTGTTGAAATATTCTATCTTCCTAATCCAGACGTTTTTCATTTCTAATATCAATATTTGAGCTTTTTTTTTTCTTAACTGCACGAGTTTTGTCTTTCAGTTTGTCTTTTGGGTTTGTCTTGCTTTTTTATTGTGTTGTTTTCTATTTCATTACTTTCTCTTCTTTATTCTGTCATTTTGTTTTGTGGGTTTTTTCCTACATTCTGTTTTTTTTGTATGTTTGTTTGTTTATAAACAGAAGCTGACTTCTCACAGTTCCAGAAGCTGGAAGTCTGACATCAGGTGCCGGCATAATTGGGTTCTGGTGAGAACCCTCTTCCAGGTTGCATACTGCTGACTTCTCATTGTACTCTCACATGGCGGAAGGGGGTGAGGGAGTTCTTTGGGGTTCATTTTTAAGGGGACTGATCCCATTCATGAGGGCTCCATCCTCCTATTTCCCAAAGGCCCCACTTCCAAGCACCATCATGTTGGGGATTAGGTTTCAACATATGAATTTGCGGGAGCACCCAAAAATTCAGTCCATTGCTATGACCTTATAAATCTAATATCCCTGCCATCTGATGGTGTGGTTCACAGTTCTTAATCTTGGTTTCTTAGTTTACTAGTTCAAATTCTTGAGGAGGAATGTGGTGGGGTCAAGTGGTTCCAACATGGCAGTCTAAATCACACAGAGACTGAGAACTTTTCCCAGAAAGGGAAGGTAGTCAACCAAACCTTTCCATTGTGCACCTCCCATTCAATCCTCGGATTGTCTCAGTGTTCCCTCCAGAGGGTTAAGGCACTGTAGGTATTACTGTCTGCCTTTCTCCTGCCAGGCTCTGCTGTAGGCAAGAGGCACCTGCACTGGCAAGCTCAGTCCCACTCGTTTCTGGAATCAATCTACACAGTGTTGATAGTACGTTGAGTGCCCTGTGTCTGCCAGTGGGTGGGGTCTAGAAATTAGTCTGGCAGCCATAAGCAGCAAGTGTCTACCATGCTGGTCTCCCCACTACCTCTCACTAGGTCTTTCTTTTTAAATTGAGATATACTTGACATATAACGTATTAGTTTCAGATGTACAACATAAAGATTTGATTTTTATATATTGCAAAATGATCACCACAATAAGTCTAGTTAACATCCATCACCATATGTGGTTACCAAGTATTTTTCTTGTGATGAGAACTTTCAAGATTTACTCTTAGCAACTTTCAAATATACAATATTTTTAACTAGTCACCGTGCTATACACTGCATCCCCAGGACTTATTTATTTCCTAGGTAGAAGGTTATACCTTTTGACCCTCTTCACCCGTTTTGCCCTTGCCATGCTCCCTGCCCGCCTCTGCCAACAACCAAGGTTTCCCCTGTATCTATGAGTTTGGGGTTAGCTTTTGTTTGTTTTAGATTCCGTCTATCAGTGAAATCATACAGTATTTGTCTTACTCTAGCTGACATTTCACTTAGCCTCCGGCCCTCAAGGTCCATCCATGTTGTCACAAATGGAAAAACCTGCGAAGCCCAGGCTGTTGAAGTGGAGCACATGCACTTAACCACTATGCCACCGGGCTGGCTCCTCATTTATTCCATTTTTCTTGTTTTTCTTTTCTTTTTTCCCCCTACTGGTTTAGAAGATACGCACTTTATTTCATAAATTTAGTAGTTCCCATTGAAATTTTAGCATACATATATAATTTAACAAAGTCTAAAGTTAATATCTTAGTCTGTTTCCTAAACTAGACAAGACCCTTAAACAACTTTAATTACTTCTGATTTACATGCTCTTATTATCCGGGATTTTTTTTTAAGCCCCATAAAATAATTATTTTTAGTTCCTATAAATAATGATTGTTTAGATTTACCTAGTTGTTTATTAATTTGCTTACTTTTCCTTCTTGCATCTCAGATCTTCCCGGTAGGGTCATTTTTCTTCTTACTAAAGTATATGCTTCAAAATCAAGGATTCTTATAAAAATAAACAGAAAAAGCCAACAGCATCAGCAAAGTGATGAGAATAGCAGGAAACAGCCTTAAAATCATGAAATAACTTTAAAAAGTAGACTTTTATGGATAAACATGTGTCATTAAGCACATAGCTATTTCATAGCACTAAAAGATTAATTCTAAGACCAGTGACTTAAAACAAAATTCATGATGAAAATTATTATGTTGAGGTACATTCCCTCTATACCCACTTTGTTGAAAGTATTTTTATCATAAATAGATGTTGAATTTTGTCAAATGCTTTTTCTGCACCTATTGAGATGATCATGATTTTTATCCTTCATTTTGTTAATAATGTGGTATATCACCTTGATGGATTTGTGGAGGTTGAACCAGCCATGCATCCCTGGAATAAATCCCACTCGATCATTTTAATGTATGGTTAGATTAGATTGGCTAATATTTTGTTGAGGATTTTTGCAGCTGTATTCATCAGGGATATTGGCCAATATAGAGTTTTCTTGTGGCATCCTTGTCTGCTTTTGGTATTAAGGCGATGCTCGCCTCATAAAATGAGTTTGGAACAATGTCCTCCTTTTCTATTTTTTGGAAAAAACGGGTGAAGGGAGTCAAAAGTTTAAAAAAAAAAAAAGCATAGGTCTGTTTTTCCTGAGCATATTGAGGCTTTCACAGATTATTTCTGCTTTTCTAACCTTTGCACTCACAGGGATCGTCCCCTGTGGTCCTAAAGGAAAAAAAATAAATTATAATAATTAAGCTGATTCAGTAGCAATCGAAATTGGATCTGCAGTATGGCTTATAGCAATTTCTCAAGTAAGATTCCATCTAATAGCACTATATATACTTAATATTCTCTCACATTCATTTACAACTTATGAATTTAGGTTTCAGTAAGGGTACATTTTAGTGTTTCTTTGGGCTATTTTAATGTCAGTTATTAGCAAGGCTTAAATCAGTTAAGGGTTAAATTATTTTAAAATGAGTTCACAGTAATAGTATTTTTAATAGAATACAAACATGCTCTTTTTGAGAAAATAAAAATATATACTGAACAACCCCAATACAAAATTTTAATAAAACAATAGAAAGTAAGGAAATTTGTAGGGTCTCATTATGCACACATGGGAGAATTTATACACATATATGTATTTTGCAGGAGAGGAAGCAATAGCAGAAAAATACTTATGCAGGATGCAGAATGCACTTTAGAGAAATAGAAGCACAGGATATATATAAGTAAAAACTCAATAAATTAGTTAAAATTTTATTACTCAGTAAAGTGGGACCAGTTTACAAATGATGTGGCAATGGTAGCAAAAGTGGCAGGAAGGAACTCAGCACTCAACACGTCTAATAAATAAAGCTTAGTGATTCATTAAATATTATGATACTATACAGGATGAAAACTTCCAACACTTCCATAGATCTTTAATTTATATCTTTCAGATAAGCCAAATATTCTAGGTAGGTAAGAAAGTACCTGCTGATATCATACTTTAAAGGAATTACCTTGGAAAATTAATGGTTTCACTGTCTGCAAAACCTGCATAAATCCAAAATATAATACGGTCTCCAAGAATAATGGAAAATATTAATCTATCATCTTGCTCTCATTTTGGCTGCACTTTGTGTCTTCAAATATTTTTCACAACTAGTATACATATCTGCAGCCTAACAAGTTTATAAACATTGTAAATATGGTTCATTTTCTTTGCAATTATCCTAATGTGCTTTTGTGTGAAATGATTCACTAAAATATTTAGATTTGTTATCTAAAAGGTGAATGGGTATTCCCACCATTTACTTTATCTCAGAAATTAGACTTGCAGAAGTATTGAGTAGTCATGTCATGTAGTCTCGAGGCAGAAGGAAATTAACAGAAAGGTGAACATCAGTTTTACAGTAACTAAACACGTGACACCTAAGATATGGGTCTCAAGATAAGCACATATTCCAATTATTTATTCAATGTATGTGTCCCTTAGAGCTCACACTATTTCTTTTGTTTTTTTATCTTTGATAGGATTAGTTTCATTTGATTTTTGTGTTAAGGCAAAAGACAGACATCTCCTTTTCCTTGGCTTTAATTAGTTTCAAATTTATCTAAGAAGAGAGAAAATAATGCTCATTTCATAAAAGATCAACATTAATATTAGGACAGTTTTTTTTCTTCTGACAAATCTGTGCTGTGTTTATACTAACTGTTTAAAAATACTAATCCTGAGCAAGAGAAAAATAAGAATAGTTTTGACTAAAGAATAAAATTCCTTCATTGTTAAACCTAAACAGCTTTAAAATTCTACATAGAATGTAAAGTCAGTAAGACTGGAATTCATACTTCTGATGTCCATGGCAAACCTGAATACTCTGAGCAGAAATAAAACACTCATAGTAGATAATACACAACAGTAAAAAGCATCAGAAATTGATGCACCCGGATTTTGTTAAATATAACAAAGGCCACTCAGTCCTTCATGGATAACCCTAGCTGGGAGAACAGCACTGAACAGTGTATTGCATTGAACAGTTCCCTCAGAAAGGCAACACTGGGTTCCTTTTTAGATAGGCACAGACTTTTTTTTCAAAATATTCAAAGACATAAAAGACACATTTGGAAATATAATATGAATCCTGTTTTCATGAAGGCAAAAAGTTCTGGCCACTTTGGAAACCAAAGTAAATCACTTGAGCTTTTAGTTATAGCTACCTCTCATGAAAACGAAGAGCTTACTACCCTGCAAAGCAGTGTTATGACAAAGTATTTATACACCAGTGAAGGCCATTAAGGACTTTGCAACATGAGTCAACTGAAGCCAAGCTCTAAGGCTTTCCTAGTTCACGTGGTGAAAGTGCACAGGAAACCGCCGGCACAGCAAGGATCCTCTCACAGTACGGAGGCCTGTCCACGTAGGAAGGTCCGTTGAAAGTCAGCACAGTGGACACTAGGCAATGATTTCTGACACTGGGCACAGCCCTTGGCTTCTTCAATATGCCTTTTCTTTTATTCAAACTGTCTCTCTTCCTCTTCATCTGCTTCTTCAATGACCTGAATCTCATCTGCTTGAGGTAGGGAAGAATTCTCCACCTGCAGTTTATTCCCATCAGATTTACATTTCTCTTCTTCCTCTATGATTTCCTTCCATATCTTGTGGTTTTCCGCGAGGTGATGCATTAGCTGACAAAATATTCGCCGTCTGCCTTTCCTTCTTTGTGGTTCTGTGAAGTTTAAAACAAATATATTCTAATCATAGCAATATGATTCAATCATTCACTCAACAAATATCTGAGTGCCTATCATATTCCAGGCACTTATCTAAGCACTGGAATTACAGTTGTAAACAATAAGATAAAAATAACTCCTGTACTATGGAGCTCACATTCTAGGGGGAAAGACCTAGGTAAGCAAATAAAGAAGCAAAACATAAGTATGTTAGATGGTGTTAAGTATTATGGATAAAAATAAAGTGGAGCAGGGGATTAGGGAAGACTGAGCGGGGGAGGAGAGGAGGGGAGAGGAGGATCGTAGTGAAATTTCAAATGATAAATAATAGTGCAAAGTTAAAAACCAACATTTTAAGAATTTTTATGTATTAAACACAATTATCAAAATTTTGAGTATAAATAATTTTTAGAAGCCAGCCAACTTTCCCAAGTTGATGATCAGATGTGATGGCGTAAGATTATTCTTCACTGGGCTAATCCTGAATATACGTGTGTGTGTGTGTGTGTGTGTGTGTGTGTGTGTGTGTGTGGGCGGGGGGTTCTTTGTAGCTAACGTGTTCTGATTTGTAGCATGCTTGAAAAACAAAAAAATAATTAGATATAACTTTAAAGAGCAAATAACTGATTTCATTTACAGTTACAAAGGTGGCAAATGTTTCTTTTTCATTTTCCATTTATATTCATTGCTTTATATAGAAAAATATGTCCCTACAGTTTGGTAATTCAATTCAATGCCACAAAACTTGGTTCTCCTCTTAGAGTCAGGGAATGTATATTTTCCTCTTCTCCCAACTGGTTTGATCCATTTCCCAAGTCTGTGTGAAGGGCATATGAGCGGGTTACTTTGGAACTTGTGCTCTCAACTGCCTTGTGGGATTGGGGGAGGGTGGTGTGAGGAGGGGTGAGGCGAAGGAGGACTAGGCACTAGGACCCACCGCCTCACATATGCTCAGAGGTGGTGACAGCCCTACCTGGGATGAACAGGTGGACTCTGCTGAGGAGCACTGGCTGGAGGCAACGCCTCAGGAGATGCGCTTTAACCAAGAATGCTTGTTGTGTGACAGCATTAGCAAGGCACCCAGCACACAGCAGTTACTCAAAACGAGACAGTAGTTAAGATATGACTACTGAATCTGTATCTTAGGAACAAAGATCCAAATCCAAATTAAATGGACATTTGCAGTTAATAACGTTAAAGAAATTATAGCATCCCTATATTCTTACTAGGATTTAGATTGTCTTCTATTTCTTCTTCGTCTGTATCTAATTCTTCACCATCTTCTTCTTCATAACAACTTTCGGCATCATCATCCTCTTCTGCTTCTATCCACTGACCCGGTAGCAAACCAGCAGCATCATAGGAGTTACACAAGGGACCCACTATGTGGGTGATAAAAGATTCTTGGAGTTTTGCTAGTTGAGGAGAAGAGCGATCCATGAAGGGACTGATGGGCAGACCAAGATTTGCTTCTTCATCTCCCTGATCATTTTAAAAAGGAAAGTACATTTTTAACTATTGAATGAACAACCACTGCGCTTTCCTGTTAAAATTATTTTAAATAAGCATAGTCTGCATCAAAATAATTTGTACAAAGAAGTGTCAATGAATCTAATTACTCCATCATTTCAACTGTAAGAATTTCTCTAATATTTGAGAAATCCTAAACAAGACTTTATTCTCACTCTCCACCAGTCAACCAGTATGGTTGATATTCAGTTAACAAGTAAAATATACATCTTCTAAAATAAGTATCAGAAAGTTTACTAATAACCTACAAAATTCTATAATGTCAAATATAGATTCTTTTTTCCTGGGGGAGATGGTATAATGGAAACATTTTGTTATAGCTGTACTTCAAATGTACAGAGTTGAATTTTGCAAATGTTTTTCAAGCCCCTCCCCCTTTTTGTAACAGCAGAACCCTTTAATGAATCTAAATCAGAAAACCCACTATGTAAATCATAGAAGTAGAGCTTCTGCAGTTGAGGTGAGGATTCTGGGCCCAGAGCCCCACCTGCCTGCCCCATGACACCCTCCCACTGTGGCCTAGGGGGTTCTGGAGAGCAGAATTTGAGATGAGACAGATGTGGCTTCAAAACCTGCTTTTGACACCTGTTACCTGTGTGGTGGTGGGCAAGCTCTGTGCTCAATTTGTGTGTAAAATCTGAATAATAATCTACCTTACAGGGTTGCTACAAGGATGAAAAGCAATATTATGGAAGTTTTTAACACGGTGCTGAGCATTCCCCAAATGCTACTATTAACATTTTAGTGTCTAGTGTCTCCCTCGCGGGGCATGCATACTCTCCACAATGCACAAATTCTGCGGGCAAGCGGTGTCTCTCTTGGAGAGCCAACACAGCCCTGAGGAAACAACCGGAAACTGTCCCTGTGATTAACTGTCCCATGATTAAAAAATCTTCTATGACAATCTTCTATGAGGAAGAAAACTATTAATGTTTAAAAAAAAAAAAACAGTTGAGTTTATCCACAGGACTCTATGATTTCATAAGTTTGGCTTTTTAAAATTTCTTTTAGGGGTTTGGCTTTTCTAAGCCCATGGCAATTAAATGGCTATAGAGGTATAAAAATAGTTTAATGAGGATGATAAAAAGAGAAAAAGTTGGGCAGGGTTAGAATTTTGCATCCATATCTGAAGGAAGTTTAATAGTTCCGATTAGGGATGACTAGGACTTTCATATAGAGTAGTACGGTTAACCTTCACGACAACTCTGCATGGTTGGGTGTCACATGACATTTTTCTTTGACGTATGAATAATGAAACCTAGGAAGATTAAGTGAAACTGTCTGAAATGATATATTGTTTTTAGTGATAGATCTGGAATTATAATCGCTAACATTTCTTGAACACTTATGAGTCAGGAACTGTTCTAAGAACTTTATATATTAATGTATTAATTGATTTAATCCTCACAGTGACTTTATGGGTACCATCAATATTCCTATTTTATCAACGAGGAAACTGAGGCACAGAGAGGTTAAGTAACTTACCCAAGATCACATTGCTGGTAAGGAAGAGGAGCCAGGATTCAACCTCAGGCTTGGCTTCTAAGTTAGCTTAATAAGAATTAATTCTATATACTTTAAAAATAGTTATATCATAAATTGAGTCTAAAGGAACTTTTCTAATGTTATTTCACTGAATTAGTAAGTTTTCTAAAATTGGCATATACTAGTACTTTGTTATTACCTCTGTTTGTACAGATAATATAAAGATGGCATTTTCCTTAGCATAAAATTCCTTTGTGAACATGAAATCTACTGGAGAGCTCTGAGGCAGGCTTCAATTATCTTTGAGAATGAGGATGGGAATATGCAAACTGTATACTGCAATCTACAAGTTAGGTAAATATTTATAATAATTTATTACCCAAAATTACATATAATTTAGTTCACATATCAGAACAGTAAAATGCTAATAATCTTGGAATACTTATCTATTTCCATGATTATACAGTATGATATTGTGTAAATTGCAAACAGCAGAGTATATATTATGTGCTGGGATGTTCAGCTGAGGTGAAAGACACCACACATTTACTGGTCATTCAATACAATCGGGGGTGACAAGGTCTAACAGGTAAGTGTGTATGGTTTACGGGCTCAACTTCATCACTCCTGCGGGAACAGCAGCTCCTGGTAAGAAAGCACTTCACAAAGCCGTCACTTGGTAGACATCTTGATTGTCCCTGATTTTAGGGGCAACAAGGATTCCGAAGGAATGCAATTCCAAAGTCAAGTTGATGTATTTGACATTTTGGAGATAGGAAATGTTAGGCTTTTGGGGAAATCAGTATACTTCTACATTGTATGGAGCATCAAAACTGGACAAAAAATGGTACAGATTCCTCAAAGTAGTAGGATTATTTTAAGGACAAGATTTTAAAACATATGAAAAAAGAAAAGAGCATGTTTATATTGTTGAACCCTTAAAAACCACTAAGTTTGTACTCTGTCCCCATTTCTAGCCCTCTAATTTCTCATCCCCTGCCAGGACTTTTACCCAGTTGATAATTTCTAAGGCAGTCTTTCTAAAACTGACTTGAAAATGGGTTGATATTTTTAAAATATAATCTAAGTATACCCTGAATCAATTAAAAATAATTTCATTTAGAAATAAATTATCCTAGGTGATAGGCTCTCAGGGTTGAGAGGGACCTTGGAATCATAACGTAGTCTATCCTTCCCTCTAGACTCAAGAGTACATTCAACCCACACCAGAGAGGCAATAAGTTATTTTTTGTTGTTTTAAATTTTAACAGCAAAGGCAAAAAGAGCTGAGAAAATACTAAGACCAGAGCAAATGTAACAATTTCTAACCATTTTTGGTCAAAGCAACTCGGGTTTCAAACATTCAGTGCACCTATCCAAATCCCAATGAGTAGTGTCTTCAGATGGTAGCTCTTAAAAATCCCACCGACCTCATGTTTCAACTTACCTGCTCATAAAATTCATTGACAATGCCTTCTGTCCATTTCAAATGCAAGTCCCGAACTTTTGCTGGGCCATTTATGTCTGCCAATTTGATGCACACCTGGCATACCAGGAGGCGATCATTTTCATTACTCCATTCTATACCATTACTATTTACATCATTGGCCTATTTTGGAAAAAAAGAATTATTTTAGGTTCTGACGGCACAAGAGTTTTGGTTTTGTTTTCTATTGTATTCTGTTATTTTTTTTATACCAAATTATCTTAAAACTGTTTCCTGTCTAAGTAACAGGAAGGAATTTCAAGAAATCCTTCTTTTAATCAGTTTGTGCCATAACATGAATCTCTATGGGTTATATTTTCCTTTGAATTGTCATTATAATTTTGTTTCAATGGAAGCAGAGCGTTATAAAAACATAATTTGTGATTACCACAGAGAATTGTAATTTGTTTGTGTATATATATTACATATTATATGGATATGCAAAACATCGATAAATCATATAAGAATTGTAACTATTTCTTCCTCAAAAAAAATCACTTAAGGATCTAAGGAGAAGTTGGGTTTAGCTGTGAAAGGCAACATGATATCGTTGAAAGAACATAAGTCTTAGAAGCTGATCCCCCTAGTTTTAAATCCTGACTCATAATGATTTACAATTCACTGTGTAACACTGGAAAAATTACTTAATCTTCTTGAATCTAAAACTTTCTTCACCTATAAAATAGGAAAAGTAATACCAATTTAGCCATATTACCATAAGGATTAACAAATGAAAAATGCCTAGCTCATAGTAAATGCTAAATAAATGCTAACACTGTTATATAAATAAATGGTAATTATCATCATTAATTAGGCAAATCACTATGCCTTTCAAAACTCAAATTTCCTCTTGTACAAAATGAAGTGAATGGGCCAGATCAGTGACTTTGGAACTTTAGTGCGATGGTAGGTTTTTGGTACCAAACTCTTGTGCAAGGAAAATTTATGTACACTACCACTATAGAAAACACTCAAAAGGAGAGCTCTTTTGATTGAAACTGTGTGGGCGGTCCAGAGCCTCACTCACTTGGTATTTTCCTGAGAGACTACAGAACACAAGTCTCTGAGGAACACAGACACAAAAGGATTGGGCTAGATAATCTTTCACCTGTAAAAACTTCTATTACTCCCACTTAAGCACTTAAAAGAATTTTTTAAATTAAATTAAAAGTTAATAGAGCTATACAACTACAAAATAATTTGAGGCATACTGATTTCTTGCTGATTTTTTGTAAGCATTTTATTAATACCATGACAGCAACATATAAAGGGTCTCCTTCCAGGGGCTTAAATCTAGCACTCCTTTGTCACCAGTTCCTCTACCCTGAAGGCACACCTTCCTGTAGGTCACAAACCTCATCAAGAAAACAAGAGCTTCCTGCCAGCAAGAGGGGGCATCCTTCTCTCAGGAACCTCAGGCAGCGGTTCGCAACTTTAGGACCACTCTCACAGAGGGCAGTGATCCTCATAGTGAACGTGGGTTCAGTGACGGAGGGTCTTCAACCTGTTCTTTCCTTATTTTTCACTAGCGCAACTGCACATAGTGGGCAATGCCAATAAACAGCTGGTCAAAGATGCGTTATTCTCAAGCTGAAGACTAGGGAGTACGTCTCTCTCACACCAGCCAGGGAGACACTAATAAAGAAAGTGTAAGAGGTACAGCGAAGTAGGCATAACTGGCTTCTTAGAAACACAACTTTACCATCATAAAATGTCTTACTTGGCACTGTGCACAATTTTCTCAAATCTGCCTCTAAAAGCTTTTGACATAATTAACTGGAGTGTCACTGTGTAAAAGGAAAGTCACAAAAATGTGAGTCTGTGTTAGAAAGGAAATGTAGCAAGCGGTAATATTTTAGGACATGTTATAATAATAAAAATGTTTTATTTTTTAAAATATTGGCAAATATGTTGTCTTACATCAGATATTTATTATGACTTCATGAGTAGTATTCTAACTTAACATTAAAAAATGTTTTTTATCAGTAACACTGACAATAATGATTTCCATTTTTGAAACCAGGCATTAATTTGCATAACAAACCTTGGCATTGAATTCTGCAAGGAAATCAAAATGCTTTTTAAGATCTGTGGCAAGGATTGCTTCAATGACTAAAAAACGAAAGCGCTTGAACTCCACATGATCAAGATTAAGAAGGAAGTTGTATTCTGGGCGAGAAAGATACAGATTCCAAGCTGATGCAGCATGATGATTTTCCAGAACCGATCTATCGTTATACAAAACTGCCTAGAAAGGAATAAGAAAAATGAGGCAGGCATCTCAAAGATATTAAACTTTAATAATAAACAGGATCATGTTGGGAGAATACAAACAATGAGTACCTCCTATACGCCAGGCATTTTAACACCTGTGAAGAAGGGTTGATAATTTTATAAAAGAGTAGCCTGAAGTGCAAAGAGGATAAGGTACAGCAGACACAGCTAGTAAGTGAAAGGGTAATTTGTCTCCAAAGTTCATCTTTGCAGACACCATGCCGCCCACCAAGAGAGGTAAAGCTGACACTTGAGGGCGACTTCGTTAAATCAGTAAACCTTCTCAGATGCAGCTTCTGTTAATAAAGTCATTAGGGACACACAGCAGGTTTAGGGATGCATCTCTGTTCTTTAGCCAGCATGGAATGAACGAAGAAGAGGAAGCAGGAGTCCAGTCCGGAGTGAGTCGGAGCCCCACGTGTCTGAGGAGGACACGTCCTACACTCCCACGGTGACACAGTGTCTGGGAGTGAGACAGAAGTGTGAAACAGATAAAAGCATGAATCCCCTGGTTCAAGTGGTGTGGAATTCTTCGCTTTTTCTCCACTTCACTCCGTGGCAGGCCCTGAGGTACCTCCCCAGTACTCTAGGACTTTGGAAGACAGATTTTAAAAACCACTGGATTATAGAATTTTTTAACCCTCTTCCACCTCTAAAAATTAAGCAGTTTTTAAAATTATTAAATAGCCATAGTAATTATTAAAAGAACTTTCATAGCCAGTGCTAAAGGCTGGGGATAAAAATAAAAAGCCTGTCCCTGTTTTCATTAGAGCTCCCAATCTAATGGGAAAGAAGGACAGAGAAAAACAGAATGTAATCTCAGTTAAGATACATGTTCTGAGAGCTTAATTAAATAGTTTTACATATTATTTATAAAAATTAGCTATAGTCTAAGTATAGATACCATTTGATTGTTTTTTTACATCATTTGATTTTATGTAAGCAATGATATGGTTTAAACTTTGAAATGTGCCATATAAAGGCTGGAAACAATCTAAGTGTCCATCAATGGATGAATGGATAAAGAAGATGTGGTGTATGCAGTCGTCCCTCAGTATCCATGGGGGATTGGTTCCACGACCCCCAAAGATACCAAAAAATCTGCAGATGCTCAAGTCGCTAATATAAAACAGCACAGTACTTGCATGTAACCTACACACATCCCCCCTTATACTTTAAATTATCTCTAGGTTACTTATAATATGTAATACAATGTAAATGCTAGGTAAATAGTTGTTACACCATATCATTTAGGGAATAACGACAAGAAAACAGTTTGTACACATTCTGTACAGACACAACCATTGTAGGCCTTTCAATCCACAGTTGGCTGAATCCGAAGATGCAGAACCCATGGATATGGAGGGCCAACTGTATATATGTACAATGGAATATTATTCAGCCATGAGAAAGAAGAAAATCCTGCCATTTGTGGTGACCTTGACAGACCTTAATAGCATTATGCTAAGTGAGGTAAGTCAGAGAAAGACAAATACTATATGATATCACTTGTATGTGTAATCTAAAACAGCTGAACTCATAGAAACAGATTGGTGGTTACCAAGGGCTAGCAGGTAGGAGAATTGGGGAGATAGTGGTCAAAGGGTACAAACTTGCAGTCACAAGATGAATAAGTTCTGGGAATCTAATGTACAGCATTGTAACTGTAGCTAACGGTACTGTGTTATATACTTGAAAGTTGCTGAGAGACTAGATCTTAACTGTTCTCACCGTAAAAAAGAAATAACTATGAGACATGATGGAGGTATCAGCTGTTGCTATGGTGGTGATGATATGTGTATCAAAAAGCCATATGTAGTACAACTTAAACTTTACACAATGTTATATGTCAATTATAGCTCAATAAAAAAACAAAACACATTTTATGCTAACCTTAATACAACTTCTAAACATTGTAAATCCCAAGAGAAGGAGTAAGCTTTGTAGACTCCCTAAGGGGTCAATTTACATTTAACAGCAATTTGACTACTTTGTGCTCAAATCCAATAAAGACTGATAAACTATCAGATTAGCTTTGTCTGTTCAGGAAGAAGTAACCAAACTCCCAGCTCAATAAAGCACAGCGTATAGTGAGTGTCCTGTAAAGCTAGTTGAGTAAAGCTAGTTGACAATAAATTCTCAGCTAGGGAGATAGTAAAAGAAATGAGTAAGTTCAGAATTCCTTCAGCATCCAAATTACCCTTTGAAATTGCCAAAGAAATATAAAATGGGGGCAAAAAATCTGAATATTTGAAGCTAGATATAATCACCACACTGGAGACTTCAAAGACATGTTAAAGTGGGAATGGAAAAACCTACCCGGAGAATAAGTGGAAGGAGTCCCCTCATGGACCCCAATAAACTGACTACCTCATAGCTGAGGAGAGGCAAGAAAGACCCACGGAGCAGTAAGTAGGAGGCAAATGTCAGTGCTACTTTAGGAAGAACATTGGATGGTAGTACGTAGAGCAACAAGCCAACCTTAAACTTAGTGAAAAAAAACAGTCCAGGTGAAACAGATAATGAAGCTTAGCTGGCTTTTACTGTGGGCTCTGTGACAACTAGAGAAGGAAGACGGTGCCCCAGCTAGTGTAGAGCTGCAATAACTAACATCCTTTGACTTTTTGCTGAAGCATCTTGCTACCTGCTTTCTCTAGCTGTGGATCCCTCCCTTCTCTCCACACGCAAATTATTTGGCAAAGCAAATTAGTTGATCATAAACTATACTTTTCACTCTCTCTCAGTCAGAATGATTTGAAAGGGGGTTTAATACAAACTCTGATAGGATTAATGTTAACAAATAATAAACAGCTTTCAATAAATGTAAGCAAAAAAAGAAAACCCATCAGACATCTGAAAGACTTAGATCAAACAAAGGAAGAGACTAATAAATCTAAACAAATGTCTCCTTTTGAAACACAAGAAATAGGAGGAAACATTAAAACATCTCTAGATCAGTCATAAGATTAAAGAGGGTACTTCAAAAAGTACCCTCTTGGGTAATCTTGGCTTAAGAAAGATTGTTTTCATTTAAAAAAATAATATTCCTAACAAAAAAAAATCCAATAGAGATAGTAAACAAATCAGGTGCTGCAAAAAACAAAGCAGCTAGTTTTTGTTTTTTGAGGAAGATTAGCCCTGAGCTAACATCTGCCACCATTCCTCCTCTTTTTGCTGAGGAAGACTGGCCCTGAGATAACATCTGTGCCCATCTTCCTCTACTTTATATGTGGGACGCCTACCACAGCACGGCTTGCCAAATGGTGCCATGTCCGCACCCAGGACCCGAACCGGCGAACCCCAGGCTGCCGAGAAAGGGAACGTGCAAACTTAACCACTGCGCCACCGGGCTGGCCCCAAAGCTGCTAGTTTTAAAAAAGGCACTTCTCTTTAAAGAAACAGCTTGATGAACAGCTGTCATCTTGGAGTTCCTTTACCCCAAGTTCTGAGTTTGTTCTAGAATTTCTGGTAATCTCATATCTTCTAAGACCCTTTGTCTTGGTTATCACTCCAGTTTTGCTAAAACACATTTTTATGTAACTTTCTCAGATAGAATAGATGGGACATGATTTTTTTAAATCTCTGCACATCTGAGAAGCTCTGTATTTTGCTCAATGCTCAACTGTGGGTGAGCTGGATACAGAACTCTACCCTGAAAATAACACCTCTCCGCCAGCACTCCCTATCTCCTCCCCCATTTTACTTCTTTCCTATCACTTACATCATAATCATCTCTCTGTCTCTTACACATACATTTATTTGTTTATTGTTTTTCTTGCTTTACTAGAATGTAAGTTCTATGAGGGCAGAATTTTTTTTTGCATGTTTTGTTCAATAATAATGCCTAGAAGAGTGCCTGTCACACAGTATGCATCTAATGTTTGTTAAATGAATGAATCAATGCATTCCCTTAGAATTCTGAAGACTATATTCCAGTACCATCTTGCATCCGTTGTTGCTAAAATATGATGCCAGTAGGATTTTTGTTCTTTTGTAAGTGTGTTGTTTTCATCCTCTCAAGAATTCTTCTTCTTCTTTCTTTCTTTCTTTTTTTTTTTTTTTTTTAAAAATCTCTGTTCTGAAATGTTACCATGACATAGTATATGTGGGTTTTTGGTGTTTTTTCCTCATTCAACTTCTCTGGCACTTGGTGAACCCCTTCCCTCCAAAGACTCTCCACTTTCTGGAACTCCCAATGGTCAGATCTTGACCTTGTCCCCTCTGCCCTATTTTTTCCTTACCTGTACTTTCCTTCTCTTTATTTTTTGGTCTATATTCTAGGAGAGGTTATCTGGAATTTTACTTCCAAGGCTTATGTTGAATTTTTTAAATTTCCGCAGTAATACTTTTTGTTTCTAAGAGCTCTAACTTGTTCTCTGATGTTTCCTTATGAAACATGTTTCCTGTTCTTATGGATGTAATGTAATGTTTTTCAGATTCTCTCTGAGAATACTTTGTTTTTAATTAAGTGCTTTTCTAGTCCCTAGATTATCTTTTTTTCCTTGTAGTCAGTTATTCTGTTCATCTTAGCCTTTTCTTTCCAAGCTACTGGTTAATGTCATATGTTTGGTGATCCTTGGTTATCTGTTGATATAAAAAAAATGAATCCTAGATTGCAATGTGACTTTGTGCTTGTGGATATTTTATTGCTGAGTCTCTTCTTTAATTGGGAAGGATGTGTAGGAACTCTGGCAATGTGGATGGGGCTTGTTATCTAGCAGATTTTGCTTTAAAATTACCAGACTGGGTGCCAGCTGTCAAATTTCCAGAATGAGAAGGCTTTACTCTGGAGTATTAATACCCACACTGTAACTCTTATTCTCTCCTGGGAGTTTCCTTCAACATCTAAGAGATGAGTTTTCTTCCTGGCGGTAAATGCAGGGTTACAGTAGCTTTGCTTAAAGGTATGTGTGGTGTACCTGTATGGGGGATGTGCATGAGGTCATGTGCACACGTGCTCAAGCTTGTGTGTGTGTGTGTGTGTGTGTGGAGCAGGCAGGGGCAAATGGCATCAGGAGTCTCTCCAGGGCTCCACTTAGGCTGTGGCCTCCTTCTAGTATACTTTTCTCTCATCTCCCAATATTTGTCCATCTGTTTTTCATTTTCCAAAAATAGTATGAAATTCTTTAATCTACTGGTGATAATACCGTCCCACCTATTCCTCTCTGTCGTAATGAGCTGCATCCCTTACTATCATTTTAATCAGGAGGAAAGGAAGACAAATGCATGTGTTCAGTCACCATCTAGATCCATATTTTGGGGGACAAAACATATTTATGACTGTCTCAGATTTACAAATGTCAACTTAAAATTTTCTTTCCTTTTACCCCAAATCTCATCAAAATACTCTACAAACTCTAATATCTCAAGCACTAATCTCCATCTTTCAGACAACTTTTCATTTAGAAATAGCTCAGAAATCTCTTTAAATTTTAATACTGACATCCCTCCAGAATAAACCTAAGTGTTTCACTTTCTTTCATGGGAAGAATTCAGAATAATCCTGTGTCTTCCCAACACATTTGCCTTACCACAAGAATGAAGAAGAATGCTTGATCCAGTTGGTAGTACTATACACTATCGTTGCTTTTTATGATACCGGAGCTATAATATCTCTCACTAATTAGGGCCTGATGAGACGCACTGAGCTTCTCAAGATGAGAGAACCTACTTGATTACCTAATAAATACATTAGGCCTTAGGCTTTCACAAGAGTCTTTATCTCACAGGCACTGGCTGAAGAAGGTCTCATGAATTTCATCACTTTGGGAAGAACAGAGTATACTTCAGACAAGCTTGTAGTTCTGCAGAGCAAGGACATCAGGCATCCTTCAACATTCAATAAATATTTACTGAATGCCTTTTGTGTGCTAGGCACTACGCTAGGTATTAGGGGAAAAAAGAGACAAAGATCCCTGCCCGCATGGAAACTTATATTCCACTGAGAAGAGATATATGATAAACAATACATAGTATGCTAAAAGATCATTGCTAAGGAAAAAATAAAGCAGGGAAGGAACATAATGAGTAACAGGAAGTGACTTTGAAATTCTATATGGAAGGAGGTGACAAAGTGAGCTAGACAGATATCTAGGGAAAGAGCACTCACTCTGGGCAGGGCAGACAAAGTGAAGAGGCTCTCAGAAAGGGGGTGCCTAGGAGAGAGAGCAAAATAGAAAGGAGGCCAGTGAGGCTGGACCTGAGTGATTAAAAAAGGAGAATTAGTGGAAGCTAAGTCGAGGTGGGCCTTCTGAGCTGTTGTAATGACTTTTACCAAGGAGTGAGGTGAATGCCATTGGAGGGTTTAGAACAGAGAGTGATGTAACTCACATTTAAACCAGGTCACTGGCTGCTACGTGTTGAGAACAGACTGAAGGGGAGCAGGAAGTAAGCAAGGAAAGTAGGTAAAACGCTATACTTTTTCATAGCTGACTCTCTAATCAATTTCCTTTCCATTCTAGCATGTCCCATTGTTTCATCTACTGGCAATCTTTAACAATGAGAAGTTAGAAATAACAAAGGATTATTGATATTATATGCAGACCTCATGTTTGTATTTTGATCAGGACAACAGTTTTGAGTATATAACTTGTGTAAATTATACTCATGTATCATTGTTTTAAATTATCTGCATTTGAGAGAGGGAACATTAGAATTCACTCACTTGTAATAGCCTTGATGGAGAGGTAATAAACAAGTCTGACTCACCTGTACTCAAAACTAATGAAAGGCAGAATAAACGCAGGGAGTGGGAGAGAAAGGTAAATAATTTCTGCCTACATGATTTCTGATTCTGGAGCATCTCAAACAAATGGAACAGTAGAAAACTTTCCACATGTTATCTCTTTGTGCCCTTAATCATATCAGGTACATATTTGAAGGTTAAGAAAGATAAGGGTGACTTGTCTAAGGTCACACAGCTAATAAGTGGGTAACCAGAAATCAAACTCAAGTCCCTTGATCCCAAGACAAGTGCTTTTCCCTCTGTGCCACTACTGCCCAGATATATGACCCATCATGGTACTGGGATTTTCAAAGATTATGAGTTGTTAGGCTAGAGAGAATGGGCATCTGATTCTTGCAGAATGGTACTGCAAATGAGGAAGTATATATTCCTTACTGGGTAATTTCTCCCAAAGGAATTCTTAGAAAGTAGACAAATATTAATATCTAGATTGAAATTCATTAAAAAGTTACCTGTAGAAACCATGAGCTATTAATGAAGAAAGCCTTATTGGACAAAATTAATCACACAGCATTTTTAACTATTCCCTCCTTCCCCTCCCTCCTCCCTCCCTCTCTGTCTCAATCCTACTCTTGTTCTGGTTAGAGAATCTAACTCCTATGCATAAATAGTGAGAATATGTGAAAGAGATAAAAGTGAGAAAAGGAACACAGAGAATGGCTATAGAAGATGAAAGAATCAGAACTGAGGTTTAAACATAGAGTCATAAAGTGAAGAAGTAAGATTCAGCAAACAATCACTGACCACTTACTCTTTGTAAGGCATGAAGTTAGAAATATACAGATGACATTTCAGGAATCACCAGCCTAAAACAAATACCAACAACCATTCTACTCAAAACCAAGTAGTTCCAAGTCCTAATGTTTAAAGCTATTACAATTACTGTATCCATTTTGTGGAAACTCCTACCTCTTATCCAAACTGTGACCCTAAAGGAATCCTGCACTTTATCAGCTGTGCTGTGGTGCTAGGAGAATTTGACATACACAAATATATTCAGAGCTAACAGATTTGGAGTCTAGGTATTAAGGCATGTCTTAGAGGAAAAAAGGGGACAACAACAACAAAAAATAGTAATAGTTCTCAATCATTATAGCTTTTAGCCATACAAAGGACCTTGCCAGAAGGAAGAGTCGTACATTTATCAGTCTTATCGATTTGATCAAAGGCAAAAATACTGACAGCAAGGACTCCAGAATTTTATAAAACAGCGAGTTACTCTTTCGTGAACATTTTCTTCATTTTATAGTTGAAGAAGGTGATTTTTCCCTAATTCTTTAACACACATCATGTCAATACTATGTGTTATTATCCAGTTAATTACAATGTAGATGGAATGGCCATATGATTCAACTGAAGAATGGTCTCCAAAGGGATATCTACATAGCATGGTTGTAAAATTTCAGAATCATTCTTTAAACTTTCTAAAGTATTTCCTACCTGAGGGGCATTTGTAGCCACTAGAAATGCATTTGTCCGCCCTGGGTGATCATAATCATGCATGGCAGCTGCCACATATAGAGCCATCAATTCCAACGCAGGAATGTTTGAAGACAGACAACCATAGCTCTCATCTGGAATAGAGCAGCTCCTCGAAGAAATGTAAGCAGTTTGCTCAGGGCTAATTCTACCATCAGAATCTGAGGAACAAGCAAAATAAACCAGCATTACACATAACTTCCTCACAATGCGGCTAAGGTGGAGATTCCTCATAGGTAATATGATTATTCATCTTATCTGTTGACTTACCTAAGAAATAGACTCTATTTATAAACATAGGCCTAAAACAGGATATTATTTCCAACATACATGCCAACAAAGAGGAGGAGTATCATACGTAACCTTGAAGTCACTTACTTTACAGGATGTGATAGGATTCTCATGATGCTCTCTTTCTCTGACTAATAATAATTTTTAAAAGCCTCTGATTTTCTAAACATTTGTAAGGCTAGATATAATGGCCAGGGAATAGGAGGTAACAAGAAAAAGCAATCTAGAGAATAAAATTCATGAAAACAATATAGAGAATTAGGAATTTAATATATTAACAAACTCAGCTTCTCAACATAAATGCTTTTCAAATCTTATATCCAGATAGATTACATTTCATTTGCAGCTCTGACTACAACCCGTCTTCCCCTTCTTTTTCCTTCCATGAAGCCTCTTATAAAATAATGGAGGGAAAAACTAGGGAAAATGAAAAAGCATGGAAAACTGAGGAATGTCTCAGAAACATAACTCTTTTTATCCTCTAGCTGGAAACAATATTTTCATTATCAGCACTGTGCTTTTGGTGTCTTAATATATTACCATTGACTTCTTCCTTTTTGTATTTTGGTGACTTTATTTCTTTAAATGGTCACTCTATTATTTTTTCTAAAGGGATCTTAAAGTATAAGAAGGAGAAAATAAACTATATTTAGAGTAGACAGCAAACAAAACCACTAAGATGTTAAAGAGAGAAAAAATTTCATTGCTTGTGTTCACCAGTGGAACCTAGGAATAATATCCTGGCTTGTCAAAGTCCAAAACAATTTTTATCACAATTTAGAGTTCACTCTATTTTTGCCATTAAGAATTTTTTAACATAATAACTTTAATACACACTAGTGATAATTATAAAGATACCTCATTATTTTCATGCTGTTTATATTTTGTATCTAAATTGAGTTTTAGAAACACCCACACTAGAGCTATTTTTTTAATAGTTATGAAAAATAAAAAGACAAATGTATGGATAAAGATATAATTTACACATTCAAATTTCTAATAAGACTTTAGTTATCAATATCAGAGACAATAATTTGGATTTTCCCTGTTATATGCATTCTGAATTTCCTCTAGAATTTCAAAATATATATAAAAATGTCAGAAATGGTAAAAGATATCCTTTCAACTTAATAATTACTTAAAATTGACATATTGGAATCTTAATACATTAGTTTATATATGTTTAACATGAAATTAATAGTATGAAAAAGAAAATAGCTGGCAAGAACAATTAAACATAACTATTGTAGATCCCATTTATTTACTTTCTTACTGAAAATGGTGATTCTTTTAACTGGCTGATTAATTTAAAAGGAGGCCTCAGTAAAAGCCATCCAGATTAGAAAGGAAGAGGTAAAACCATCTCCATTTTACAGATGCCATGATCTTGTATATAGAAAAATACTAAAAAATCCACTGAAAAACTATTCGAACTAATAAATTAAGATCATCAGTGTTGCAGGGTACAGATCAATATGCAAAAAATCAATTGTATTTCTTTTTTTTTTAAGATTGGCCCTGAGCTAACATCTCTTACCAATCTTTTTTTTTTCCTCCTTTTTCTCCCCAAAGCCCCCTAAGTACATAGTTGTATATGCTAGTTGTAGCTCCTTCTAGTTGTGGCATGTGGACGCTGCCTCAGCGTGGCCTGATGAGCGGTGCTAGGTCTGTGCCAAGGACCCAAACCAGCAAAACCCTCGGCCACCAAAGCAGAGGGCACGGACTTAACCACACAGCCACAGGGCCAGCACCTCAATTGTATTTCTTAACACTAGCAATGAATAATCAAAAAATGAACCCAAGAAAATACTTCCATTTACACTATCAGGACAGCTAATTTTTGACAAAGGAGCCAAGAACATACAATGGGGAAAGGAAAGCCTCTTCAATAAATGGTTTTGGGAAAACTGGACAGCCACATGCAAAAGAATGAAAGTAGACCATTATCTTACACCATGCACAAAAATTAACTCAAAATGTATTAGACTTGAACGTAAGATCTGAAACCATAAAACTCTTAGAAGAAAACATAGGCAGTACACTCTTTGACACTGGTCTTAGCAGTATCTTTATGACTATCATGTCTCCTTCAGGCAAGGGAAACAAAAGAAAAAATAAACAAATGGGACTACATCAGACTAAAAAGCTTCTGCATGGCAAAGGAAATCATCAACAAAACAAAAACACAACTCACTAATTAGGAGAAAATATTTGCAAATCATGTATCCAACAAGGGGTTAATTTCCAAAATATGTAAAGAATATTTTGTATGTGTTATTGTATTATAATATTCATAATATAAACTCATAATATTGTATGAGTTATACAAGGCAATAAGAGAAAAACAAACAACCCAATCAAAATTGGGCAGAGGATATGAGCAGACATTTTTCCAAGGAAGATATACAGATGGCCAACAGGCACATGAAAAGATGTTCAACATCAATAATTATTAGGGAAATGCAAATCAAAACTACAATGAGATATCACCTCACACCTGTCAGAATGGCTATTATTAAAAAGACAAGAAATAAATGTTGGAAAGGGCGTGGAGAGAAGGGAACCCTTATATACTGCTCGTTGGAATGCAACCTAGTGTAGCCACTATGGATAACAGTATGGAGATTTCTCAAAAAGTTAAAAATAGAACTACTGTATGACCCAGCTATTCTACTTCTGGGTATTTATTCAAAGAACACGAAAACACTAATTTGAGAAGATATATGCACCCCTATGTTCATTGCGGCATAATTCAAAATAGCCAAGACTTGGAAGCAACCTAAGTGCCCATCAGTGGATGAATGGATAAAGATGATGTAGTATATATACACAATGGAATACTACTCAGCCATAAAAAAGATGAAATCGTGCCATTTGTGACAACATGACTGGACTTGGAGACTATTATGCTAACCAAAATCAGTCAGAGAGAGAAAGACAAATACCATATGATTTCACCGATTATGTGGGAGATAAAAAAAAGAAACATATAGGGCCAGCCTGGTGGCATAGTGGTTAAGTGCACATACTCTGCTTTGGAGGTTCATATCCTGGGCACAGACCTGTACAACACTCATCAAGCCGTGCTGTGGCAGTGTCCCACATACAAAGCAGAGGAAGACTGGCACAGATGTTAGCTCAGGGACAATCTTCCTTAAGCAAAAAGAGGAAGATTGCCAACAGATGTTAGCTCAGGGCTAATCTTCCTCACCAAAAAACAAAACAAAACAAAAAACATACCTAGATATGGAGAACAGATAGGTACTTACCAGAGGAGGGATTGTGGGAGGGTGAAAGGGGTAAAGGGGCACACATGTATGGTGACAGATGGAAACTAGACTTTTGGCGGTGAACATGATGCAGTCTACAGAAGCCAAAATATAATGATGTACACCTAAAATGTACATAATGTTATAAACCAATGTGACCTCAATAAAATTTTTTTAAAAAGAATACTTAGGAATAAACTTAACAAAAGCATTGCAAAACCAGTATTCTGAAAACGAAAAAATTATTGTTGAAAGAAATTAAAGGAGACTCATAAATAAGTGGGAAAATACCTATGTTTGTGGATCAGAAGACTTAATATTGTTAATTAAGATGGCAATACCCCCGAAATGATCTGCCAGATTCAATACAATCACTATCAAACTCCCAAAATTCTACAAAATGTCTTTTTTTTTGTAGAAATTTACAAGCTGAACCTAAAAGTCATGTGGGAAAGGCAAGACATCCAGAATAGCCAAAACAATCTTGAAAAAGAAGAACAAAGTTGGAGGACTCACACTTCCCAGTTTCAAAGCTTACTACAAAGCTTTAGTAATGGAGACAGTGTGGTACTGGCATAAGGATAGACACATAGATCAATGGAATAGAAGTGAGAGACCAGAAATAAACCCTCATATTTGTGGTCAATTGATTTTGGACAAGGGTGCCATGACCTGGTTGAGAGACAACTGTGTGCCCTGCATGATGCTAGGCACTTTCATGCATGTTATTTCATTTAATGCTCACATCTTATAAGGTAGAAACTCTGATTTAATAACATTTAGAGCTGACTATGTGTAGAATATATAAAGAACAAGGATTAAAAGAAATAAAGAACAATTCTTTTCAACAAATGGTGCTGGGACAACTGGATATCCACGAGTAAAAGAATGTTGGACCTTTTCCTCACTTCATCCCCTCAAATTAGTTCCATCATAGACCCAAACTCAAGAGCTATAACTATGAAACTCTTAGAAGAAACGGGAGTAAATCTTCATGACTTTGAGTTAGGCACCCTTCTTAGATATGACACCAACAGCATGAGCAACAAAAGAAATACTTAGATAAATTAAACATCAAAATTAAAACCTTTTGTGCTTCAATAGACATCCTCAAGAAACTGAAAACACAACTCACAGTATGGGAGCAAACAGCTGCAAATCATGAATCTGTAAGGCTGCAAATCACAAATCTTATATATTCTGTACCCAGAATATATAAAGAACTCCTCAAAATTCAATAATAAAAAGACAAACGAGGGGCTGGCCCCATGGCGTAGTGCTTAACTGTGCACGGCTCAGCTTCAGGAGCCCAGGGTTCGCCAGTTCAGATCCCAGGCGCGGACACAGCACCACTTATCAAGCTATGCTGTGGCAGGCATCCCACATATAAAATAGAGGAAGATGGGGACAGATGTTAGCTCAGGGCCAATCTTCCTCAGCAAAAAGAGGAACATTGGTAGCAATGTTAGCTCACGGCTAATCTTCCTCCAAAAAAAAAAAAGACAAATGACCAAATCTTAAAATGGAAAAAGTACATGAATAGACATTTCTCTGAAGAAGATATACAAATGGCTCATAACCACATGAAAAGATGCTCAAGA